GGTTTTGAATAGAGGGGGAGATGTGTGTCCAATTCCAACATAAGCCAAACATTCCATAGTGTCCAAATGATATGAGAATTCCCAAAGTCTAAAGTTATAAAACCACCTAATGTTGCCTAATTAATCAGCGAAGCATCTACCTAAATTCATACTAGTGGAACCATGAATAGAGTACCCACTAGTTGGGGTGTTTTTTATCCTAGGGTGAACAAGGTAATAATAACAATAGCAATAATAATAAGGTCATAACAAAGGTAAATAGGCATGGCTAAATAAAACAGTGATAACGCAGGAATTTAAATAAAGCGATAATGCATTAATTTAAATCAAAATAATTTTATAAACTGGGATTCAATATGCTCAAGGATGATGTGACTTGCCTTGCTCAGAGAGAACGGCCTTCCGAACCTTCGGCGACGACCGCGAACCACGCTTCGGGAACCTCTGGAACGACAGAAGCTACGCGAAGCACACAAGCAAAGCTACAAGCCTATAAAGAAGCAATAACAATACATAAAAACAAAGCACAGGGTTCTTTAGGTTATAACAAACATTAGGAGACTTGAACGGATCGATTCGGAGCTCGTATGACCAAGACATGGTCATCCGAAGTTTAATGCTGTTATATGGAGATTTGCGGATTATTATAATTAGGTTTTGCAACTATAAAACATGTGTAAGCGCTAGCCTGGAAAAGACAGGAAGGCTGCGCTGTTGACATGCGGACCCCACATGTCAACCTAAGGGACCACGGCAGACCGGGTACACAGAGACGGTCCACGGGTCGATGGAAGCGGATCCCGTGTGTCAACCGAGGCGAGTGGCCGATAAACGGACTCCACTAGACACCGCGCGGGCTGCACACGTGGAAACCACGTGGCTACCGAGCGTGCACACTAACACGGTCACCACACGCACAAGCGAACGACTACCGACACCGGTACACGGGTACCGGGGTCGACAACCGCACAACGGGCACGGGCGACACCGAAAAGACGAGGACGGGGCAGCGAGAGGAGAGATCCTTACCACCACGCGACGAGGCGAGGGAACAACAACGACGAACGGGCGCGGCGGAGACGGCCGGGAACGACGGAGACGAAAGGCAAGGGGACGACTTCGGCGGCGATCCTTGGACGAAGGCGAGACGCGGCCGGCACAAGGCTTGACGACGCGGAGGCGAGGACGAAGACAACGACGGGGCTGCAGCGGCACACTTGACGGACGCGGACGACGGACGAGAACGGCTTGACGAAAGGACGAACGCCACAATGACCGGGAACGACGGGAGGACGACGACGACGATGACCGGGGCCGGCGAGGAGGCGACGAGGGACAGCTAGCAGCAGCTGCACGGAGACGAGGACGGCGTGGAACACGCCGCTGCGAATCCGACAACGGAGGCGGCGCAGCGAGACGACGAGCCGGCGAGGAGGAACGACCGACCGGAGGAGTCGTCGACGAGGACGAACGGAGACGACGATAACGAACACTGGCGGGGTTCGGATGGAGGGGAGGCGAGGCCGAGGGCGACCTTGCCGCTGCGATGCCGGAGGTGGAGACGGCGACGTCGGCCGGCGCACTGGCACGGCGGACGGGGCTGCCGGAGGAACTCCGGTGAGGCGGAGGGCGAGACCGACGCGGGCGACGGCGTTCCGGTGAAACCGAGGGCAGGCCGGGGTGGAGGTCGACGCGGCGACGCCGAGGGAGGAGACGGCGCAGCCGGCCCGCACCTGAGCGGCGCGGCAGGGGCGGCTGGAGGCAGTACAGTGGCGGCAACGCCACTGTTTTGCCGGCGAGGACACGTCTCCGGTGATTTCCCCGCGAAACGGAGGGCTGACCGGGGGAGAGAAGGCGGCTGCGAGGCCGAGGGCGGCGACGGCGCGACCGGACGGCGCTCGGGCGAGGAGGGAGAGGCGGCTGGAGGCCGGCTGGCGCCGGAGAGAGAGAAGGAGAAGGCGGGGAGAGGTGATACGACCACGGGGAGGCTCGGGAAGGGGCTAAAACGATAGAACGAAGGATGGGGATTCCATTTTATAGGCGTGGGGAGGGATCCGGCCACGGGAGGAGCCGGGAACGGCGGCGGAAAAGCCGGCCGGCGGCCATGGAAGGTGGCCGGAGTTGGCGCGTCCGTTCCCGGCGATTGGGGGCGCCATTCAAGGGGGAATTAAGGGGGAAAGAGAGAGGAGGGAAAGGGGATTAATTCCCCCTAATAAATTTTGGAATTCCCGGTTTGAATCACGTGGATTTTGGGGAGGTTTGGCGCTAGGTTTCCGGGGAGAGAGAGAGCAGGCCGTGCGGGAGGAGGAAGACGACCGCACGTGCTGCGCGCGTGCGAGGAGCGGCTCGGCGTGGGCCAGGTGGCTGGGTGGCGCGGCTTGGGCCGGGCGGGAAGGAGGGAGGGGAGGGGCGGCCCAGAAGGAGGAGGAGAGGAGGGAGTGGGCCGGGAGGGGAAGAGGAGGCCCAAGAGAAGGAGAGGGAGAGAAAGAGAGGGAGGAGAGAGGGACTTCGGCCGCGGGCCGAGAGGGAGAGGGGAGAAACCTTGGGCCAGACTTGGCCCAAAGGGAAGGAGAGGGTTATTTTTAGGTTTTTCTTTTTAATAAACTCTGATAATTGTTGTTGTTGTTTAATAAATATTTTTGGTGCTCTGAAAATTCAAGTAAAATTTGAGGGCTCCTTTTAGACCAAGGATAATTTAACAAAAATTCTCCGGACCACATTCAAATTTTTCTGGCACGTATTTTAGTGTTTGTCAATTTCTTTTCGAATTTTAATTAATTCTATTATTCCTTTTAGAAAATGATTTTTATTTTGGGATGAATTTATCAGGACGTGACATGTTATTACAGCTCAGGGTGTGGCAGTTGATCCATCGAACGTGGAGTCAGTTACCAAATGGACCCCACCGAAGACCGTGTCACAGATTCGAAGTTTTCTTGGACTTGTAGGTTATTACCGCCGATTCATCGAAAACTTCTCCAGGATCGCCCGACCCATGACTCAATTGCTTAAGAAAGATGAGAAGTTTAAATGGACAGCTGAGTGCGACAAGAGTTTTGAGGAGCTCAAAAAGAAATTAGTATCCGCACCAGTTTTGATTCTGCCCGACCAGATGAAAGACTTCCAAGTCTATTGCGATGCATCCCGCCACGGACTTGGATGTGTCCTAATGCAAGAGGGCAGAGTGGTTGCGTATGCCTCGCGACAGTTGCGTCCACACGAAGGGAATTATCCAACTCATGACCTGGAATTGGCAGCAGTGGTTCATGCTTTGAAGATCCGGAGGCACTATCTGATTGGCAACCGCTGCGAAGTATATATGGACCATAAGAGTCTGAAATACATCTTCACCCAACCGGACCTAAATCTCCGACAACGAAGATGGTTGGAATTAATCAAAGACTATGATATGAGCATTCACTACCACCCGGAGAAAGCCAATGTGGTAGCAGACGCATTAAGCAGGAAGAGTTACTGCACTGCCCTAGGCATCGAGGGCATGTGTGAGGAATTGCGGCAGGAGCTTGAGCGTCTCAACGTGGGAATTGTTGAACACGGATTCGTAGCCGCTCTGGAAGCACGGCCTACGCTCGCGGATCAAGTCAGAGCGGCTCAAGTAAATGATCCTGAAATAGCAGAGCTGAAAAAGAATATGAGAGTCAGAAAAGCCCGGGATTTTCATGAAGATGAACACGGCACAATTTGGTTGGGAGAAAGATTGTGTGTACCTGACGACAAGGAACTGAAAGATCTGATACTCACCGAGGCTCATCAGACTCAGTACTCCATTCATCCAGGCAGCACCAAAATGTATCAAGACCTCAAAGAAAAGTTTTGGTGGGTCAGCATGAGGAGAGAAATAGCTGAATTCGTCGCACTCTGCGATGTTTGCCAACGAGTGAAGGCAGAGCACCAAAGACCAGTAGGTTTACTCCAACCTCTTCAAATCCCGGAATGGAAATGGGAGGAGATTGGAATGGACTTTATAACAGGACTGCCCCGGACATCATCGGGTCACGATTCAATCTCTGTCGTGAATGTTACCCCAACGGTGCTCAAGAGAGTTTGCATTCCTATCAGACTCTGTCGAGGAGTGATCCTCTCTAGCGGGAGGTTGTGAGACCCCCCTTTGTGAGTTCGGCCGGGGGATAAGGCGCGATGATCAAGAGTGTATCTCCGCCAGGGATCTGGCTAACGAGATTGCTCACAAGCGAGTGAGAGACAAGGGATTATACAGGTTCGGGCCGCTAGGAAGCGTAATACCCTACTCCTGTGTGTGGAATTAAGCTTGTGCTGTTATAAGGGAGTTCTAACCCTAGGCTCAAGCTTCTCAAGTGGCGTCCCTCCTTTCGGTGGGCAAGGTCCTCCTTTTATAGTTCAAGGGGATACCACATGCACCGTCTTACACAGTTCATCATTGGATGGGGGCCCACATGTCCTGGGTCGAGCTGTCGTCCATGCCTTCGTCTGGAAGCAAGGCGGTCGTTTGCCCCCAGGTGGATCCCAACGCCGTCCTCCGGCTGACACGGGGGACATCCCTGTCATTCCCTCTTAATTCCATGGAGACTTTTGTGGACTCATGTACGGGGAGGCACGCTCGGCTACATGCCGATGGGACGGGGCATACCCGCCCCCACTCCGCCTGACAGAGGGCAGAACGTGGGTGCGCTACCACCCGTCCCATACGCCTGTGACCGGTCACAGACCGGTCAAGCTCGATTGACGCACGTCAATCGAGCGGCGCCTCACGTCCGCCCACGCCACATTAACTTTGGCGGGGGACAATTGGGGCGCTACTCATTTAAGGCGCTTGGCAGCGCCTCTCCCTCCGCCCACTCGACCGCCACGTGGCAGCCGAGCGAGCGCCTCGGGGCAGCGTGCTCCAAGGGCCTGAGGGGTGCGACAGGGCACCCCGAGGTCCCTTGGCCGCTTCATGACCGCTCGTTCTCCCCCGAGGTGGGGAGGGGGGAGGGACAGGCCGCGCGGCCACGTGGCCAGACGGGAAGATCCTTTCCCTCTATCTTGCGTACCCCCGGGCCCATATTACCGACAGACTCATAATCACGGTTAGCATGGCAGTGCTCTGTGATCCTCTTCAAATATGCCTTCCCTGGTTGCTCATTGCCAATAATAGGATCTGAGCTAATGCTCTGCCATGAAATGCACAATTGAATGTCCTCCTTACAAGTATAGTTGCTTGATTTTTTAGTACTTCCTTTTGCACCATTTGTTGAAGTACGAAGGTCTACATTTGGCATTGGCACTTCGACATCAGTGTCCTCGAACATCATGTGCACAAAGGGATCACCTCTACTTGTCATTGCAATCTAGTCACTGCAATAAATATATAAATTGACAACCTTTCCAATCGATCTCAGAAACATCAACAAATGATTGTAATGTACATTAGGTTATACTGTTTATAACATGTATTTGTTTAGCATATATATTGGTTCTACATTACTAAGGACTCAGTACAAACACAAATTTCTCTCTTCAATATTATATATGCTCTGCAAGATTAGCTCTCTGACATAGAAAATGCAATAAAAAAAAGCTATAAGACACCGCATATAAAACATGAATGATAGACAATGTTTTGCCGTGCGAATGATTTTGATGGGCCTAGGCACCTAGTAAGTCTTAGATTCAGTTTCAATCAAAATTTCAATAGCTACAAGACACTGCATATAAAACACAAAACATGTGCATACTTTTGTAAACACAAATTCTTTGTTCAAAGTTTGCACTCTTTCTATTAACCAAAATTTAAGTCCATACTTGATTTGCATATTGCTCAAACAAATATGAAAACAAGGTACATCGATTTGCACTATTGAATTCCTATTAACTATGCTATAGCTTATATTCAGAATTTAGATGGATTGCAAGAAACAGTGATATTGTCCTTAAAGTTGTAAAAATCATTCAGATTTCCAAGTTCAGATAACGCAAACTGAGCAGGCTATATTATGTTAATCACAATCAATAAATGAACTGTACTTCATTTGATAATTACCAGTAATAATTTCCAAGTACAGTGATGAAGAACAAAATGATAATTACCAGTGATAATTTCCGCGACTGAGCCCTCAGGACTAGGGACTCGAGAAGATGATTTGGGTGCCTTCCTATGTTGGCCCTTTAGTAGGGCATCTCAGTTTTTCGCCTCAACTCTCAAAAATCATTTGATGCTCTTAAGGATGTAAAAATTACCCGCGCGACGAATAAATGCAGCACGCGTTGGTGCAAACGTGGATCTCGAGAATCCGGACATACCCGAGGTATTTATGAATCCAGGAATCTGCTATTCCAGTGTTAAGTCTTGCATCCCTGATGTATTCGAAGTCCATGAATACGCATTTGTAGTGTCTAAATCGATCTTGTGCATGAATATAAGTTTCTCATTCATTTAATTTTTTTTACTGACCTCACCTCCAAACATATTTAATTTTGGTCAATTACAGCAAGTATTTAAACGTAAGCCCCAATAGTACTATGTAGAATTAATTTGTTAAGATAATGTTAACTTTTGAAAACACTAAATGTAGTCGATTGGATGCCAAATGAATAAAACAAATAGTTATACTCCCTTCGGTTTTAATAGATGATACCATTGATTTTTAATACATGTTTGAGCATTTACCTTGTCAAAAAATTTGTGTAAGTATGAAAAACATGAAACTTCTGATTAAAGTACATTTAATGGTAAACCAAACCACAATAAAATAAATGGTAGATTTTCTTTTGAATGAGACTAATGGTCAAACATATTTCAAAATGTTAATGGCACCATCTATTAAAAACTGAAGAGAGTATTATATTGGGGCTAGTGTATTATGGAAAATGTATTAGTGTAGTTATATTTTTATTTATGAATAGATGGTGTAGATAAAATTAGAGGTAGCAACTATCTCTACTAGTATTAAATATGCTTTTGTGATTCTGCCATGGGCATGAAAGTAGATAAAAAAAACCTTTTAGGGTGCTTTTTTTAGATAATAGAATGAAGCATTCCGGCCTTTACTCAAGAGGTAGCTTATCTAAAGTGGATCTGGAAGAGTAGCTGTACTATGAAAGTAAAAGTTTTTGGCTAGCTTCTGCTCATTGATAGATTGAATACTCGTGATATGCTTGACAGAAAATTTTGTACCCCGGAAGGAAGTGATTTAACATGTGTTTTATGCTCGACAGGGGAAAGAGAGACTCTTCATCATCTTTTCTTTTCCTGTTCATTCAGTACTGAATGTTGGGCTCAATTTGGCATTGTTTGGAATCTCTCCCTGTCTTTTGAAAATATGTTGACACATGCTAAGAATTCCTATCAATCCTCACACTTCCTGGAGAAGGTTCTTTATGTAGCATGGAATATTTGGAAGCAACGCAATAGTTTCATTTTTTTATAATGTTCAACCCTCTGTAGCTTCCTGGATGACATTCTTCAAGAATGATCTATCCCTTCTTGTTTATCATTTAAGATTAGATGAGATATCAGCTTTCTGTTCCTGGATAAATCACTTGTATTTTCTGTATATATTTTCCTTAATAAAATTATTTAACTGTGGGGGCTTCCCCTACAGTGCTTTCCTAAAAAAGGCTTGTTGAGATCGTTGCATAAATCTATCATATCGATATTTGTTAATGCTAAATTTTGGTGCTACAAAGTTCTAACAGGGTTGGATGTATTTGGTTTGAAACCTTAACAAATGTTGGTAGTGTTTTTAAGAGCTTTACCCGGATGGACACACGACGGATGGCGCCGGGTCGGTGTGGGAGTAGCTGGTGGAGTATCCTGTGATCAGCGCCGTGATTGTACAATATATGCATATTGTACCGGACCGGGTCCTATACATACTACTTCCTTTCCTTTCATAGTTGAGTTATTTTTAAACAGAGAATACGTACACATGCTAGAATTGAATAATCCACTCGAAATCCTTTGACCCCCGAAAGAAATACCAATAATTATTACTTAAAAGTAAACTTGTTTTAGAATAACAAGATAAAAAATGATTATCCTTGCAAAAAGAAATAGTTACATATCTCAGGTCATCTACAATAGTCATATTCGTCGCTGAAACGACAATTAATTAATTAACTAATAGTAGGAATAAGCAAGGGATCAAGGTCATGTTCCTTTTCATCGATGCATAAGCACTTGTCTCCGTACCTGAAGTGGATAATCATTTTTGGTAAAATTTGCTACAGGACATCCAAAAAAGTGTAATTAGCTTGAGGATATCGTAAAAACGTGTATTTGCTTTAGGGCATCGAAAAAATTAGTAATTGGCTGCTGGACACCCACGACATTATTTTATTATTTTTTTAAGGATTAGGAAAGAGAAACAATGATTAAAGACAAGATTGCCCCTTTGGCTCAAATGACTCTGGGCCCCACATGTAACCCTCTCTCTCTCCTTCTTTCTAGACGGGCCAGGTGGCAGAGCAGCGATCCGCGGCCGCGGCGCTGGCCGCGTTCGCCGGGTGGGGGGTTGGGGTGGGTACGTGCAGCCTCTTTCCCCTCCGACATTGGCGGCGGCGGCGACAACGACGACGACGGCGACGGGAGCGGGTAGGTGTAGTAGAGGACCATGGCCGAGTTCCGGCAGCGCGGCCAGGTCCCGGAGGATATGGACAAGTCCATCGGCACCGTCCTCTCCTACATCCACTTCGCCATCCCCGATGTGCCGGTCTCCGGCCCGCCTCTCCGCGCTCTTGCCCGACGACGGCGTCGACCGCCTCAGCCTCCTCCCCGACGTGCTCTCCGCCGGATCGTCTCCTGCCTCCCCGTCAAGGACGCCGCACGCACTGCCGCGCTCTCCACCCGCTGGCGCAAGGTTTGGCGCTCCACCTCGCTCGTCCTTGTCGACGCCGAACACCTTCCCGTCGGCATGTCCGACTCCGATACCTGCGCCGCGCGCGAGGATGCCCACGCCGTCACCTCACCTCCAGCTTCATGGACCAGTACCAGGGCCTGCTCGTGAGCTCGTTCCAGGTCCTCGCCGTCAAGGGCATCCAGGAGCTCATCCTCGTCAATCGCCCGTTCCCACCCGTTCCTGGCTCCAGGTCCACGTCCCAGCTCCGCTCTGGCCGCCGCGTCCGGTACAGCTTCGTCCCGCCTCTCGAACCGGCACTTCTCGACGGCGCGCTCGACTACTCCATGGACGGCGCTCGGGGACGAAGAGAAGAAAGAAGAAAGAGCAAAGAGAGAAGAGAGAAAGAATGAGGGAAGCATAAGGAAGAATAAAGAAAAAGAAAAAAAATTCGAAGGGTAGAATAGTAGTTTCTCTCTCCAATTCCATCAGATATAATAAAATAATCCTGCGGGTGTCCCGTACTTAATTAGCAGTTTTTTGGTGCCCTATAACATACACGCGTTTTTACGGTGTCCCCTAACTAATTACATGTTTTTTTTTATATCTTGTAGCAAATTTTACCTTATAATAAACACACATGTCATCCGCACGCCTGACCTTTCATCAGCAATACTTTCCTCAGGAGAAGGGTGCACCGTGAGATAGATCGCTATGCTCAAATTGATTACCATCATGGTGAACATGCAGACCTGCACACAGTACATATATATAATCAATCACAATATTGAACGTAGTCTCAGTCGATGCATATTTATATAGAGAGGTAGACTACCTCTGTTTTCTGTTGATTTTTAAAATAATCTTTAACCATGCATATTATTAAAAAATATTAATATGTTAAATATAAGTCCTACTTAAATTCTTTTTAATGATAAAACATGTCACAATAAAATAAATAACATTTATGTATATTTTAAAAGGATGAATGGTCAAATATTATGTAAAAATTCAACTACGTCTTCTACTAAAAATTGAGAGTATTAATTTGATTATGAAGTAAATTACACTTGTGGTTTATAAACTTGTGAGTTGAGTGTAATTTAATACATAAAGTTTTAAATCGCTTATTTCGGTGTATAAACTTATCTAGTGTGTGCAAATCAAAGCCAAAAAAACATGTCGTAACTAATTTTACTAAGTTGAACATTGACTAAGATGTTATGTTAGCTGACATGTCAAGATGATATTATCTAAATATGCATATGTTTAATTAAACATAAAATAAGTAATGTCAATTATACATATTTTTAATACATATAAAGGGAGTATGCAATGGATAAAAAATAATATAAGAACAAAATAACTATGCATGGAATGTATAAAGGTTAATTATTTGCACATAATATATATATATATATATATATATATATATATATATATATATATATATATATATATATATATATATATATGTATATATGTATATATATATACATATATATATATATGTATACATATATACATACATATGTATGTATATATACATACATATATATATATATGTACATATATATATATGTATGTATATATATATATATATGTATATGATGCCTCTTGTGTGTGCGTGACATTTTATAACGAGACTAACTCAACATCATTTGGATTAGTTTGCACTCCCTACACAAATTTATGTAACGAGTATTTTACAAATTTGTATACTAATTTGCACTCACCTAAAAAGTTTATATATCACTAATGTAATTTACTCTTGATCATTGTATAATCATAGAGAAAAAAAAGTGTCTGCGTTCATAAAGAGTTCATGGTATATAGGGAAAAAAATGATGGCATGTGTATATACCTGAAATACGAAAAGGAGGGTGCGATTATTGGTGGCCTCGTCCCTTGGAGGAGGCCGAGGTCGTCGTCGTTGGACTGCTGCCCCGTGAAACGCCGGCGGCGGGAGCGGCAGGATGCGAGGAGGGACGAGGGCCGGCTGCGCTCGCGGCGGCGGCGGCGGCGGCGGAGCGAGGTCGTCGACGACGTGGATGATGAACTCAGGCGGGTGGTCGTCGGAATCCATGGCCACCACCGTGCCAGAGCAAAAAGGACGTAAGATGAATAGATAGATTATACCAGCACACGATTAAAAAGGGATAATTATAATCTAGTATACGTACGTGAATCCTAATAGGATCAGTAGAAAGAGAAATTCGGAAAAAAAAATATCGAAAGCGATTCGGAATCCCTTTCGATTAATACTACAGTAATGAACCCACTAGCAAAAATATTGGTGAATTAAAATTAACCGCAAAAGAAATTAGCTATACGCCAAGCTATTTCCTGGAAATAAATGAAGAGATCCATATTGCTTCGCGGTTGGGAGGGCCAAAAATGACATGTTACCTTGATGGTGTAGATCATATTAAGTTGGTGGTTTTATGATTTCTTAGAGCTATGAAAAGCTAATAACGACCGTAATTTTCTTATCGGACGGACTGCTAAAAAAATTCGGTGTTAACCGTCAATGAAAAGGAATTTCCCTCCCGCGCACGCAGAAAACAGAGCGACACATTTTCTTATGATTAATTAAGTATTTAATTTATTTAAAAATGGATTAATATGATTTTTAAAAGTAACTTTTGTATAGAATTTTTTTAAAAAAACACACCGTTTAACCGTTTGAAAAACGTGCGCGCGAAAAACGAGAAATGTGAGTTGGAAAAGCATGGAGAAAAACACACTCGTATAGTAGCTGGTGGCGTCTCCTGTGATTAATAGGCATATGTACATTACAGATATGCACGTTCGTTTGCTCACGACCACGATAGTTACGTGCCGTGGTGACGTAGTATTGTACCGGGGCGGGTCCTATACATACTACTCTTTCCTTTAATTGAGTTATTTTATAACAAAGAGAATACATGCACATATTAGAATTGAATAATCCACTCAAAATCCTTTGGCGCCGGAACCCCGGAGCAGTGGCGGATCTAGGAAGGGATAGCAGGGGTTCTAAATAAACTAGACAAAGCCACATACGATCTTTCCATCTACATGTAGCAAAAAATTTTAGCAAGAGTTTTGTGGGGGCTCCCATAGTATTCATGCCAGTAGTGAGGCCTCGAGACCCCGCTGCCCCTATGCTAGATTCGCCTCTGCTCGGAAAAAAATGCCAGATTGCTTAAAAATAAACTTGTTTTGAATAAGAAGATAATTGCACAAAGAAATAGTGACATATATCTTTAGGTCATTTACGATAGTCATCTTCTAAAACAACAATTAATTAAGAGATTTGCTCCGGTCCAATAAAAATACCTCGAGGTACCGGTACCTCACGGTATTAAATCATTTCTTATCGTTAGATCTAACAATACGCATTCTGTCCAACTAGATTCAACGATCGGAAATGATTTGACACCATGAGGTATCGGTACCCCGAAGTATTTTTATTAGACCAGAGCAAATCTCTTACAGCATAATAATAAGCAAATTATTAAGAGGCAAAGGGTGCTGATGAGCTTGTGTATGGGCTTCAGGGCCCATCAGCGACTGCCGTGCCACCTATCTTGTGTGTTTGATCGTAGTAATATCGTACGTGAAAATCGTACGTGAAGCATTTTCCTTTCCGATTATCAGACGGTGATCATAAACGAGCTTAATTATGAGGGCAAGACTAATTAAGTTTTTAATGTTGGACGGTTGCAAAATAGATTTTTAGAAACAAAATTTTCTTTAAAAAGTTTTCCAAAAAATCGCTCTGTTCAGTTGAGAAACGTGTCCGTGATAATTCAGAGGAGTGGCTAATCCAACTTTCACTTAAGAACAGTACCAAAAGAATATCCAAGTTTCAGTGGATTCCACATGGATGCTTGGAGTCACTGGATGACACAAGAATCATTCCTTTGAACTTTGGCATATCATGATTTGTTTTTTGGGAGGGTTGGCATATCATGATTGATCTGATGGACCAACAAAACCAGGATTACAGTTAATCTTCCAGGAACACTGTACTGTAGTAAGTAGCAACCCCTTAATTACTCCCTTCTCTTGATCTTGGGTGATTGGTCTCCTCTCAAATGGCCGAGACAGAACCAACATAATTTTACCTTCTTCAAAATTTGCTCGAGCTACAGCAATTTTACTAGGATTTGTCTGATCATATGAAGGCCAAAGCCTCTGCTCGCCACTGCTCCTCTGTTTATATAAATATTTCTTTTGCATGCATGACGCCTACAAGCTACGCAAATCATTTTAGTGGCTCTCAATGCATCTTCTCGGGCAGTTCTTTGCCTTGTTTTTTTCCTCTGCGTTTAATATATTTTTTTTGTCTTCTACTCAACTTTAAGTTGTTAATAACTAGTTTTTCATATATGTGTCCCTATCAAAGAAAGCAATGGCTAGGCCCTATCTTAAAAAAAAAAACAATGGTTGGTTGGATTGTGCTCCGGGGTCCCTGGAATATGCCCAAGAAAACAGCTGGGTATCAAAAGCAGCTGGTCTGATTGCTACTATAATATTGATTTATTGAAGCTCAAGTCTGTGAAAAAAATAATTTATTCAGGAGAATTAGTACTTTTTCGTGAAAACGGCCTCCAGAAAATTGACCATTTTAATTTGCCTCCTGCCGGAGTAACCAAAATGGGAACTTATCATGTACACAAGTTTCGGGTACACTCATCGTCTACATCACCTAACAAGTATCGTTGAAAAATCTAGAAAAACTATATATATGATTTCAGTAGTATTTCACCTATGTGTAAAAACGTCATTTTCGAAGTCATCATTCATAGAGAAAAATACAAAATTCTGAGATTTATACACATAAAACTGCCGGATATTTTTTTTATTTTTTTGTTAAAGCTAAAAAAAATATATTATTTTAAAAAGATAGGTGTAACACTATACTGAAAGTTGAAAGTACATACACAATTGTTTTAGAGTATTCGGTGGCATTATTAGCAAGTACTATTTAATTACCGATAAATATTCCATAGCTCGAGGAAATATATAATACAAACCTAGAACTACCATATGATAAAAATAGATAATTGAGATTCATCCACGTCACCTCAAGTAAAATTTTACTCGGAGTAATGTTGACGAGTTTCAAATGTCTATTTTCATTTTTCAATCAAACGGTAGTTTTTTATTTTTCGATCATACGGTAGTTTTTAAGTTCGCACTAGATAGATAAGTCCCCTTTTAAAACGCAAGATTATTAAAAAAAAACGTCACGGCGCTTGCTCTTGAGGCACTCACATGTAAGGCCGGTCACGTATGCATGCCCATCTTCCATGTTGACTCTTACATTTAATCCACGTCAGCAGACGGATATAAGCACAGTAGAAGGCAAATTAATTAACATTTAGTTTGGCCATAGGTTAATGAACATTGTGCAAATGGCAGGCCTGTCTCTTTCTCTTAATCTTGTGGCGTTCGTCGACGCATGGTATAGCTAGCTACTCCCTCCGTTTTACCATGTAAGTTATTTTAGCATTTTCTATATTCATTAACATTAATATAAATATCGGAAATGTTAGAATGATTTACATTGTAAAACGGAGGAAGTAATAGCGAACGTACACCAATCAAAGACATTTAAACTAATTTGGATCATCACTATTTTTTAAAGAATGCTAGTTAATTTAATTTGGAGAATTGGAGATGTCATTGCGCCAAAATTAAAATATACTATATATATATATATATATATATATGCCGTATACATATATTCAACGTTCATAACTAAGCCCGGTCTTTCTTGTGGTATAATCCAAGCAAAGTCGTCGTCCCTGCATGCGCATGGACGCACAAACGTACGTATACGTGTTTGACCGCTTGATTGATACTACAGTTGTATTGTGCACGAGAGTTCTCGCAGACTTTTTATGAACATGACTTTTTCTGTAATTAATTAATGTTGTATGTACTCTCAGGCACAGTCAAACTTTACAAGCTATTAAACACATGATTTTTTTTATATGCTCCCTCCGTTCTATAAAAAACTAACTTCTAACTTTAAATTTAGAAGTAACCTATGTTCAGGCGGATAATTAGAAGTTGATTTTTTTTCTGGGATAGAGGGGTACATTTTTAGAATCGAGATAGGTTAAATTTAGCAAAATCTCAAACGGGTTTGAATAGCTAGAGATCTAGTAGTGAAAAAGCTGAATACCTCTGAACTATTGCAAACGGATTCAGAAATCAGACATTCGACGTCCTCCAATTTAATTTTCATGCCGCATCCCCCTCCAATTTTTCCAATTACCTCTAAAGTTGCATCCTTTAAAAACCATGACAACGTCCACATCAACATCATCCGTCTTAGAAATAAATAATTTATAGAGATTTGAATCTGGACATTTCTGGGACGGAGAGGGAGTATCTGTGATGTCTCGCAGCTACATTTCTAGTCTCGTGTACTTACATCGTTATTACTTTGAAGTAATTGGCATGCAATGACAAGCTAGAAAGCTACTCTGATCCATGCATAAGATGCGATTAGACTCCATATATACAGTCTGGCCATGTGCACTAATTAACTAACTTGATTTGGATCGACGACCCTGAAATGGAGCTCTCTACTGACCCAGGAAATCCATTAACCAAGACCTGAAAAACTGAAACCAAAGCTAAACCACACACACATATGCATATGCACCCAGCTCTTGGTTGTGTTAATTAGTAATTACGATATGATTGGTCTATGTACCTATACTAAACTATTGGAGGTCGCTGTAATTAACACGTGTTTAGCTAAAAATAACCCTTGGCATCTTCCTCTGTTTCTTGTTGGATTCTGTCATGGTCTCATGGCCAGTCTGGCCATTCAGGATGCAGATTCAGATTTAGGATGACTTTGATCAGTTCAAGAGAGATAGATAAAATGATTTAGGACAACTCAAATGACAAAGGAGAAACTTATCCGATCCTCAAATGTCCTTCCATATGCAACCTGGACTATTCGAGGGATGTCATAGCTAGAAGATAATCAAATTAAATCAGAATCAGCACACTTAGTTTCTTGTGAGGTTACCTGGAACACACATGGTCTTTCCAGACTTAATTTGTTATCAAATTAATCTTTACTAGCATATAGTAGTCACCAAAATAAAACTTTAA